TTTACAGCATTCGAAGCATGTGGTGGCCTGTTTCAGTTTCGTCGCATACCCTTCGGTGTCACAAACGGTGTTGCGTGTTTTCAGCGAACTATTAACAATATCATTACGACTGAAAAGCTGAAAAGCACGTATGCCTACATAGACAATGTGACTATTTGTGGCAAGACCCAAGAGGAACACGATCTACGAGGAAGTATGGAATCACTCTCAATGATGACAAAACAGTCACTTCTTTAAAAGTCATCAACCTCCTAGGTTATGAGGTTTCAAAGGGCGTTATAAAGCCAGACCCTGAACGCATGGAACCTATCCGTCAGTTACCTCCTCCGCCCAGTACCACGGAAATGCAACGCGTCATCCGTATGTTCGCATATTACGCCCGTCTTCTGACAAAATCAACAAACTGATAAAGAATAAAACATTCCCCCTACCTGTCGACGTCGAAGTAGCCTTTAGCAACCTAAAAAGCGAACTAGACAATACACTAGACAATACGAACTAGACAATATACGCTAATTCCAACAGATTATAACGTGCTATTGGCCGTTGAAACGGACGTCTTCGATGTCGCTACAGCCACATCACTCAGCCAAAATCATCGATGGTTGGCCTTTTCCTCGAGGACACTCATTTCGAGCGAGAAGAGTCATTCTGCCATTGGGAAGAAGGCCTACGCTGTCGTTGAATCCATTAGGAAATAGCGGCATTATCTATTCGAAAGACCCTCTAAACCGATCACCAATCATCGTTGTCACATTCATGTACGGCGGTGGACAGAAGGGTAAAGTGAAAAACGACAAGATGCAACGCTGGAGGATCGTGTTGTCCAAGTACAAGTATGACGTCATATACCGACCTGGCAAGGACAATCATCTCGCAGACACTCTGTCAACTCGAAGAGCTCCATACCTCCCTCTGCCACCTCAGCATTACCCGTATGTTTCATTTTGTGCGTTGCGAGAATCTCCCCTACTCGGTCGGCGATGACAAGCGCGTTATTTCCTCCTGCAAAGTGTGTGCCGAACTGAAGCTAAGATTTTGGAGATCCTCTGGTAGACTCATTAAAGTAACACAACCCTTTGAACGCCTGAGTTTGAATTTTAAAGGTCCTTTGCCATCTAATACACGCGACCGCTACCTACTCACAATAATTGATTCTAGATTCCCATTTGCATTTGCGTATGCGGATATAACCTCGGCAATTGTGACTGACTGTCTCACACAAATCTTCTGTTTGTTCGGAATGCCAGCCTATATCCATTCCGATAGGCTCATCATTTCGTCTGAGATCGATAGCTTTCTTTTGGAAAAAGATGTTCCTATGAGTCATACATCGGATTATAATCCACACTGTAACGGTTAAATTAAGCGTCTCAACGGTACCTTCTGGAAAACGTTAAACTTGGTGTTGAAATCTCACAATCTTCCGCCTTCCTATTGGGAATCGGTAATCCCTGATGCTCTACACAGACCCCGATCACTGTTATGTATGGCCACTAACTGTACTCCACACGAACGTTTGTTTCATTACACACGTCGCTGAACATTTTGAATATTGTTGCCATCTTAGTTGACCACCTGTGGTCCAGTTCTGCTGCAACGAGGTGGTGGGTCATCCAAGTATCAGTCACTAGTAGAAGAAATCGACCCGAACTGCAACCCACACTACGGACACATTGCTAGTCGAGACGGAAGAGTCGAAACCGTGTCCTTTCGCCGTCTATCCCCAGGGGTTCAGAATACAACTGACGATTTTCTCAGTCTATCTGGATCCAATGGGGACACCGAACTCCCAAATGTGACTGAAACAACCGAACGTCAGCCCGATATATTCCAAGCATCTGAACTCTCTTCGGTACTGTCCTCCAAAGACCAACCGAATTATCCTGAAATTCTAGAACAGCGTTGCGTTCTTCCATACGGTTTGAGGAACAGAGAAGCATAACTCAGTAAATCATTCCTCATTTTCTTCAGCATAAATTTGTCCATTCAAACAACCCCGGGATGAAATTCATGCTTTTTGTATGCTTATCGTTATACTCACACTATATACTCGTATTGAACCCTCGTATGTACCTTCCAGCTCATCAACGCTTCTTCTTAGAAAAGTAAGACGTTTATCCTTAATAACCCGGGCCCTGTTCCAACTCGTTCTCGGACACATTCTAAACGTCTTAGTCGCCATGTGAAAGCCACCGTGGCATTTTTGTGTCATCGTAGGAAAAGGATGCATCGATAGACTCTCCGAGGGAATTTGAAACAGCGACACTGCTTCCACCAACCAACAATGTTTGTGGTCCTTGACCTGAAATCCGCCTTTGATTCTGTGGACTGTCAGGCACTATGGAAGTGTCTGTGGAGCAAAGGTATCCCCGTTAAATCCTGACGCTCCTTAAGGCGCTGTACGCCATCTCCTGAGGACGTGTGAAGGACGGGGAGCTCTCGCCTGGGTTCACCACATCAAGTTTTGTCAGGCAAGGCTGTCTGTCCTCTTTCACATTTCCGCTTCATTTTTGTCATCAATACGATTATGGAAGATTCTCTACTATCCTTTAATGCCTGTGGGGTCAAAGTGCTCCTGGGGTGTCATCTCTCAGATATCGAGTACACACGGGACATAGATCCTCTTGGATCAGGTGCCGTCGTAAGATATCGAGTACGCACGGGACATAGCTCCTCTTGGATCAGGCGCCGTCGTAATGCAGACAATAATTAAGTCTAAATAACTATGGCTCACTGTTTGGCATGCGCTCCACACCTACCAAGTGCTGCTACAAGACTGACGGGGTTCAAACTCTACCCTCATGCTTTCGGACGGGACGATAGAAGTAGTGGACAAATTTGTCTATCTGGGCGGCTATGTTAGTCCCGGTGGTCTCGCGGTAGACGATATTTTCTTCTGGAGTGGGAAGGACAGAGAAGCTTTCATGAACCTGCATCACCTGTGCCGTAGGCTTGATATCGGTTTGTCTGTCTGTGGGTCGAGTTTATAATGCAGCGGTGCGCTCCGTATTATTATATGGGCTGGAAGTCTGGCTGCTGCGCGCCGAGAACGCCAAAAGACTTTCAGTTTTCAACGATCAATGTCCTTAGAGCATTGCTCGAGTCTGTTGGGTACACCCGCGTCAGCAGGATTTCCTTTGTAGACCTTGCTCGTGGCCGATGATTCAATAGTCTTACCTACTCAGCTGCATGGAATTAGTCCAACCTGAGAACGGAGTGAGCAAGGAAGCGCTTTCCCCTACTGGTGTGATTGCGCACAGCAGGCACCTTCTCGACCGTATTGAACGATACGCCGGAATCCACGTTTGATTGTGAGGCGATTGGGGTGGGCGGTTTTTAGGGACGATCTTTTCCTCGGGAGAGGGCACCATCACCGCTTCCATGAATATGGACATGCTGGTCGCCTAGGGGAAACACTGGCTTCGCAACCCCATCACAGAGGTCAATATGACTCTACCCTCAGATCGTCTCAAAGTAGGAGGTCTTACTGTGGTTTTCTGATATCCTGTGATACTGCCTTCCCTCGACATGCTTTTGTTGATACCTATTTAAATTTCACTGTCCCATCGATGTTTCAGATCAAATCCAAACAAAAATCCTATCCTGCGCGAATATGTTCTTCCTGACTACGCAGAAGTTCACCGTGGCTACGTTAGGGATCCAAACGCTGATGGTGGCACCATTCAGAGCAATTCTTCAGGCACCATGGGTTTTAAACGATCTACCCAACAGGGTTACGTGTTGCGGCTGAACAACGAGCGTTTCACAGTTCCGGAACTATTGTTTCACCCAGGAGATGTTGGCTACCGTGAAATGGGTTTAACAGAAGCCATAGGCTACCTGATGTGTGAGCGTTTGCCACCCGCTGTGCGGCCAGGTGCATGGGCAAATTGTCTGGTTATCGGAGGAAACGCTCGCTTTCCTGGATTCTTGGAGAGACTGTAAGTATCACTTCCATTTTGTTCTTTTTCCATACGCCCCGATTGTGTCCTTGATCCCCCTATCTATTTAGGTCTCGTCGATTGGCGCAATCTACCAGTTTGTTGCTGCTTCTCTGAGACAACTGACCGTTTGAGTTTTGCTCGACAATTTACTTAGTTTACTTTTATCCATTCACCATACTTGGTTTTGTTAAAGCTTGTGGTATCCGTGGGCACTATCATTCCATACGTTCATGGACATGGCTCTCCCATGTATTTATACATACACAGTGATACACAGGCTTTAAAACGCCTTTTTATGTTTCTTTGAGATAATTCCTTTGAAAGCAAGAATGTTAGAATTTTTACTCATAGTGGCTGGAGTTGTACCACTTAACTGCATTGTCAGTCATTTGTATGATTATTTACTTTGCAGAAAGTTGGATTTGCGTTGCCTACCAGCAGACGACCTAGCCGTCAACGTTTTTTCACCAACTAAGTAAGTCTGGTAATGAGCGGCGATCATTGTGAAACACTTTTTGTAACTGACTGACCACATACTACTCTTTATGCTCTCTTCCTTGTTCTGTAGTCCTCAGACATATGCATGGGAAGGCGGATCACTGTTGGCTGAGAGGAAGGATGATATGGCCCAATTTCTAGTCACACGAGCCGAGTATGAAGAACATGGTTCAAGCTATTGTGACCGACGATTCCCGGTCACGTGACAAATCGTGCAACTTCTCTCTGTATACAGTATCTATTTTTGTACAATATCTATTCAATATATAAAACGACGGACCCGAAATATTACCTAGTTTCCTCTGTTGTGATGTGAATTTGGTTGCTTATCAGACAAATAAAAGTGCATCTGGCCAGAACATCATTTGCTTTTAATTTTGCTGCAGATCTTTGACGTTTTTATGATTACTTGATGATTTTTAAGGCATAGCCTCGGTAGAACGCAGTGGAAACATTTGAACAGCATCGTACCGCGTAGATCGGCAGTTCAGTTGAGGTACATATCTTTGGGAACTTTAAAACGCGGATGAAGCTAGCTTGTAAACGGTGGTTGTGCCCAACCACCAACTCATCGCTACACACCACTACGCTCCCCAGTAACGCGTTGCTGATATCACCTCGATTGATAATGAAACGTTTGCAATCAAATTGCCCAGCTTAGCGAACAAGTCAGGGACTGTTTCCCCTTTTTTCAAGCAGTTTCGCGCATGCTTAAAGAAGCTTAGAGCTGGATCCGCAACTTTGCATCCAAAAGAAACTTGTGCGACCTCTGAGCTTAAAGAATCAAGCCACAGTGATTTGTTATTGCCACTGGAGATGTAGGAAACTTGAAGCTCTACATTAAAGAGTAATGGATCGAATTTTCACTCGGCCAGTAGGTGGGAAACGAATGAATGGGAAACCCGAATGATAAAATTCAATGAGGAAGGTTGCGTTTGCCACCCAGAAGATTAGTTTGCAGTGAATTGCAGCCTGTTGACCGCGGAAGCTTGCGCCATTTAAGCAACTAAAGAATTTGACTATCTGCTACGCGCGGGTGATTTTCCCAAGTCCGGAGGAAATGTAAACTTGCATGGGAAGGCCACCAAAAATTTTATCATATCCTGGATTGCGGTTTTTTGAACAAATACTCGCCTCGTAAATTGACAAAAATCGCCATCTACGTAAGTAGCGATGTGAGGGGTGTCGAGGGAATTCTAATTTCACCAGGTAGTTAGGGTTATTTCCGCTATGTGAACAGTCTCGTACACCTTGACCATCCTACACCAAACTGACGTTTTTTTTATTTCGGGTTTTCGTTCTGAAGCTTGGGGACCTTTCAAGCACGGGCATTGGATACACGGTGGGAAATGATCAATGCTTCAGTTGCTTCTCAGAGAGGCAGTCGTTCTGAAGTCCAAGTTGTTATTCAGCCGAAGCGAGAGATTTATTAGAACACCGTACTCCCTATCGTTTGGGTGGCTGAATCGCACTTCTATCTTCACTGATAGAAACACTTTGGTTAGTTGGATTAAGGACTTCTGTGATTCGAGCTAAGCGCTGATCAGTGACCTAACTGTGGTATGTTACGTCTCCAAAGGGAAACCTAGATTAACGGACTGATGAAAAGCTGTGCTTCATAGGGAGGCGGCGTTCAAGACAGCATGCACCGAATGGTTTTAAATGGGTCTGACCAATCCGTCAGGTAGCAGTACACTTTGGCGACCCCTCGCTATCCTTCACAAACGAACCGTTTACTGCGGTTTGAACAGTCACGGATGGTTTGAGGTGCTAGAATCACAGGCGTAGATCAACACATATCCCCATCCCACAGTGGCTAAGACCTTGTTAGCATGTCTTCCGAGGGGACAGTTAGAAGGTAGAACAGAATTATGGGAAACCCGTTTACCGCCTTAACTACCAAATGAACCATGTTCTTGGGGAATTCTTTCCCTTCCAATTTCGAGAAGGAAAAAACTAGCAACTTTTGGTTTGCTAATTACTTTCCCTGTAACCGTAGTACCAGGCGAAGGTATTTTCTCAAAGGTCTCAAATCCAGTTTGATTTTTTGAGTATTGTAAGTAACACAATCGGTTCACTCGAGGCTGCTTTATTTGACACGAATCGGCGTACGGAGGGGCACTGTGTCATCTTAAGTGAATCGATGTAGACAAACATCCACTCGCTTCTGCGTATTGTTAGGTAATGCTTTTATGTAATTTTGGAACGGTGATATAATTTTCTCAGGTTTCATCATACACAGTGGTGGATTGGAGAGGAGAAGAAAGCTAGTGATCTGACCCCAACACATTTGGGAACAACTTTCAAGGCTTAGGAGTCAATTATAGACTATTTTTGAAGGGTTGGAGATGTTAGCGAAAATAGTGACCATTGGATTTATGAGCTGCTCATCGAAAGACTTATGACATCGCTGCCGTTGTGAATCTAAACTTTAAGGGAATGGGCTGTTGTGAAGATGAATATTGAGGTTTATGGACGGCAAGCGCTGCTCGGTGGACATCTTGGGCCTAGTATTGGTAAGCTGAACGAGCCGTCGATTACTGAAGGAGAAAGTTTCTTAATGTTACCCAGCGAACTGGAATCGTATGGGTATATGGACCATGAACCTACCGCACCAAAAACATTGCTGCAGTACATAGGACTGGGGTGAATCTGAACTGCGGCAAGGCGTTTAAGTGCTTAAATCGAAAACTGAACTCAAATACTCGAAACAGCCCAAAAAAGAATTTACTTGACCGAACACTTATGCAGAGTTTCTCACCACGGGTTTCGCCATTCTTGGAGTTTATCAAATGAACGTATTCTCCGAATTCGCATAACTGCATTTCATACTTGAAATGGTACGCAAATGGGGTTATTAGCTCGACTAGTGTTAACAAGCGGCTCACTTAAAGCTCCCGTTTATCAAATTCGACGGACGAATATCATGAACTAGAGGTTTAGGTGAGATTAATTTGATTCTCCCGTTACCACTAACTTAATGTGAAAATGAGTATTAATCCGCTGATGTACAATTAAGTGCTGAGTTCGAAAACAAAGATGATGAAAACCCGGAGACTGCACCCACTTAATGAGCCGCAGGAAGGACGAAACTGGTAGCGGCCATTGTCGGTCTTCTCAAACCCAGGGCTGTACTACTTGGCCCAGTGCTTTAAACATGGGCGAGTATGTGCGACTACAGTAGTTACTCTGTACTTTACAGAGTCGCATCGTTTATTTACAGTAGATAGGTAGAAGAGCTAATAAAAATGCAGAATTTCTAGAGTAAGCCATGGTTTTGTCTTATTTACATTCTGAGTTCTGTTTTCAACATTATTTTGATTTCAGAGATCCTTAGAATTAATTCATATCTCGTTCTACTTGTCTCCTTCAGGTGTATTATCTCGTCTTTGGAAGTTTCAGTATCTACTGATCCATGACAATACGATGCAATTACTTGATCTTCTAAACAAAACAGATTGTGATTTCCGGGAACACTTAGACGATACACTTGTTAATCGCCTATGCAGTGCTGTCGCTTGCCATGGTGCAGAACACGGAGGTATTTTCCATTCCGGAGATTGGGAACAACAGCTTGGCAAATTTTTTTCTACAGCGCAGATTGAACGTCTTTGTGGTGACGAAAATGGTATGAAAGTGCTCAAACTCAGTTTTGTTGTGCTGCTTAGCTATGGGAATTGTGCCTCATCTGAGCTATCCAGCATCCGCCAGATTTTTGAATCGTACCTGTCAACAACACACTTTCCAAAGTTCGGTATTGCTATCCTTGAAGCGACTGATTGTTATCTGAAAAGATGTTGTACCTTGGCAGACCTCGGAGTTGTTGATAGTATATTTGATGACGCAGTTCCTCAGCTACTTCACAACAGTATTCTTTGTAGGAGCAACATCCATCAAAGACAGTTTTTCATAGAGTTGCTAGCTCACCTTTGTGTGTACAATCAGAATTCTTCTCAGACTGGATGCCCCAACCGAATCATCCACTTGCTGACTGGCCAACTCTGTGAACTCACAGAATTCAGCTTATCGTTTCTGTTTAGACTTAACAAAATCGCGTCTACTTTTTCCGTCTGTATGTTTCCGATTTCGTTACCTTCTAAATTTCCTTTAAATGAAACGAACGTTCAGAATTGCTCTCTTCCTTATCTGGCGAACATCTTGTTTCTTTTCTGCATGGAACTGCTGAACTTTGAAGATGATTTGGACATAATTTCACTGTTTTCGCATTTCAACCCGTTTCCTGTACTTTGTGCCCAAACGATTGGTGTGTACCTGCGTTCTGGGATGCACGTATCCGGTGACCTATGGAATCGTGTTGTCAGTTCATGGTCCGAAGCTGTTGTGGATAATATTGCTAATAGTGCATTCATTTGTAAGATCATAAATCCCGTAACTAATGCCTCCGTAGGATCAGGAAGACACCAAAACCATGTGAAGATTGAGTGCAAAATTCTTAACCTTGTCTGGACGGAAGTATTTTCAACCGAATCTGCTGAATCTCAGACGCATCGTTTGCGGCTGGTCAAGCTGCTCAGGGTTCTCGTACATCCCGAACTGGGGGCGACGCAACTGGACGGATGGTTAGAGCGACTTTGGTTTCATATTGAGAAGCTTAGTGCTTGCTTAAGCGATAGCGAGTCAGTCGCCGAACTGGAGGCGGTACTTTGCCTTGGTGTTGAGATCTGTCGTATCCTGTTCGCGCAAGGACAGAATAAGTCCGTAGTGAGTTATGTGCATAAGTTGCATGCACTTACAATCCGTCATAAGGATGGTACACTATTTTATCCATGTATGCATACACTTGCACAGCTAATCAGGGAGACAAAACTTCCTGTTAACCACGGAGATTTTAGCGTAATCCTTTTTTCAAGCTTGGAGTGTATACTGTGCTCGTCTGGGCCAGAAAACGAAGTTCTCTTCTGGGATCGTGAGACATTAGCTAGAGACTGTTCAAATATCCTTTTGGACCTTACAGTAGCAGCTGATTGGCCCGATTCCACACAAGCTGGGTTTGTCCAGTTGATGACAAGCTTATTGAGTAATGATCCGGAGCCTTGCGCCGTACCACTTCAGTTTGACTGTCGGATCACACTACTTTGTGTGTATCTCCGCTTCGTTGCTTCCCTTCTGCGCTGCCCGATCAAAGACGCCACACAATCTATCGATTGGCTACTGCATGCTGGCTCGTATTTGCTGAATTTCAATACATCCGAATATGTTGGTTGGGAATTCACTGTTCGGGAGGCGGTACAACATTCGTATGATCGGCTGCTTCAGGTGAGCATACTCATGCGGACTTTTCCCCTACCAAATTACATTCTGTTCCATAATCTGTTTTAGCTCGCCATACTCACGTCTGTGGTTGCATTTCATATGTATTTTATGTGTCCTAAACTGCTGTTTAATTCAGACATCGAATCAATTTTACCAACACTGGCAGGACTCTAGGAAATGCAATGTCTGTTCTATTGTTTGTTTGAAAAAGACAGGTATCCTTCTCTCCAATTGGAACGTATTTTGCTAAGTCATTGAATTTAATGTATAGGTACTGATCTGTCATACCCTTCATCGTCAGTGACTAAAGCTGCAGCAGGTGGAACAAACGTACTTTTGATAATGTTTGTAGCTGGTGAACAGCTGATTTTTGACCCGATGATCAGTTAGTGGGAACCAAAAGCGCAAAGTTAGAGTCAGTCATTCAGAGTAACTTCCAATTGCTTCCGTGAACAGGTTTTTGATTCGATACCTCGGTACTTCCAATATGTGACATTTTCGGGTGAACGGATTGAGTCATCTGACGGATAGATATAATAGATAGATAATATAGATAGATAATGGATAGATAAAATGGCGAAGACGCTCACTCATCTACTGGCTAATACTCGGTTAATAAACGGCTGAATGACCTGAGAAAGCCCTTGGCCCCTCTAGAGCTTTCAGTTCTCAGAGACATCCAACTCATCTCAACATCAGTCCTCTTTACGCCAAACGCCTTTTTCTCCTACAACTTGTCGACGATCTTAAAAAGGACGTTAAAAATGACGCCGCTAATGCCACTTCATTACCGTACGTCGAGCTAAGTTGATTAAGACTAAACGCTGTCCCAGTTTAAGCCGAATCTTACGCTTATAAGCAGCAAGTGTCTTACTAGGATAAAAGACAACTTTAATGCAGGTAGGTGGCAATCTCCGGTCAGTCGACTTGATGTTATTCTGGACATGGTAGATTATATTCGCGCCGAACGGTCTTCAATTCGAGAAAGAGATCGAAGGACTGTAAAGGATACAGTATTTTGGGACGCTCAAACTATGTTGGATGGATGCCCCGACCCCTTTCATAAGAAGTTATTTAATATCTGTAAAGAATTTTTTCAAGTTTTTTTTGCCATGTGTATCCTCTGTGCTAGCTGGGTCCTCCAGTAATTTAACGCGAAACACAACATCTAGGCATAAGGCTCAAGCGCAAAGTAACAAGCTACCACACGGATAGGTTAAGGTGATTCAGGCCGCCTCATGTTTCAGCTGCTACGATATTCAAGATATCGCCAGTGGCTTACTAAAATAAGACCTCAGTTTGAACCATGCGCGTCTAAATATTTGGGGTCATCGTCATCTTATGGATGATAGAGCAGTAAAGTCTCCAGAATTTCTGCCATCACGAGTCACGCGTTTGTAATTTTGAATACTGACTGTTGGGGATATCAATATCCCCCAGTCACGCGTTTGAATTTTGAATACTGACTGTTGGGGATATCAATATCCCCCAGAAAACGCTGTTTTTATGTGTGCTAGCGAACTCCTGGCATTTTCAAGGTCAAACTATGAAAAATCAATGGCCTATTGATACTCCAAGAAAATTTAAATCCGACCACGTACAGGATACCATTCTTTCCACTGACTTGGGTTCGGAAGCTCCGGGCATCGCCTGTTGATC